TGTGTCCTCTGTCTTCACTGCGGTTCCTCGTCCATCAGGAAATGACATTACTCTTCCAGGGGAAGCTCAAAATAACACTTAAAATAGTGTTCCTGCTAAATCTTCCAGTTGCCCTGGTGCTATGCAGTTCCTTTAAAGAACACTAAAATTAACTCCAGATGGATTAAAGACTTAAACATAAGACCTGGCACCATAAAAACCCTAGAAGGAAATCTAGGCAAAACTATCCAGGACATAGGAGTAGGCAAGGACTTCATGAACAAAACACCAAAAGCATTGGCAACAAAAGCCAAAATAGACAAATGGGACCTAATCAAACTCCACAGCTTCTGCATGGCAAAAGAAACAGTCACTACAGTGAATCGGCAACCAACAGAATGGGAAAAACTTTTCTGCAGTCTACCCATCTGACAAAGGGCTGATATCCAGAATTTACAAAGAACTCAAACAGATTTACAGGAATAAAACAAGACCATTCAATAATGGGCAAAGGGGAACGATCCAAGATGGCCGATCGCTAACATCCCGGGATTGCAGCTCTCAGGGAAGGCGCGGAGAACTAGAGGACGCCACACTTTCAGACAGTCTGGTCGCTCACGGAGCAGAAGACCCCCCAGTGGAGGAAACACACGTGTCGCCAGCGCGACTCTCGTGGTCGGCGCAGCGGTTCCGCCGGCACCTCGGCGCGGCAGCTCTCGGCGCAGAGTAAACGGGACCGCTTCCCCTTCTGACCGAGGTTTGGAGCCCCGGGAAGGCAGAGTCGCCTACTACGGACACAAGAAGGAAGCCCGACAGGAGAATCCTGGGCAGAAAAGCACCATCAGTTTTAACGCCGCTGCTCTGGCCCTGGGAACTAACAACCTGGACGTCCACTCAAGAGACCTAATCTGAAAGTTGGTAATTTCAAAGACGAGAGGAGGATAAATTTACAATGACGGGAAGAAACCAGCGTAAAAAAGCTGAGAATACTCAAAGTCAGAACGCCTCTCCCTCTAAAGATGATCACAGTTCCACATCAACAATGGAACAAGGCTTGATGGAGAACGAGCGCCTCCTGATGACAGAATCACGCTTCAGGGAATGGATAATAACAAACTTCGGTGAGTTAAAAGACCATGTTGTAGGCCAACGTAAAGAAACTAGGAACTTTGAAAAAGGTTTGATGAAATCCTATTGAGAATAGACAACTTAGAGAGGAGTATGAGTGAATTAATGGAACTGAAGAATACAATACAGGAACTCTGAGAAGTATGCACAGGTTTAAACACTCGAATTGTTCAAGCAGAAGAAGGGATATCAGAGGTCAAAGTCCAACTTAATGAAATAAAACGTGAGGAAAAGATTTAGAGAAAAAAGGATAAAAGGAATGAGCAAAGTCTCCAAGAAATGTGGGACTATGTGAAAAGACCAAATTTACGTTTGATAGGTGTACCTGAATGCGACGGAGAGAATGAATCCAAGCTGGAAAATACCCTTCAGGATATTATTCAGGAAAATTTTCCTAAACTAGCAAAGCAGGTCAACATTCAACCCCAGGTAATACAGAGAACACCACAGAGATATTCCTCAAGAAGAGCAACCCCAAGGCACACAATCGTTAGATTCACCAGGGTTGAAACGAAGGAGAGGATACTAAGGGCAGCCAGAGAGAAAGGTCGGATAACCCACAAAGGCAAGCCTATCAGACTTACAGCAGATCTCTCGGCAGAAACTCTACAGGCCAGAAGAGAGTGGGGGCCAATATTCAACATCCTCAAAGAACAGAACCTTCAGCCCAGAATTTCATATCCAGCCAAACTAAGCTTCACAACTGAAGGAAAAATAAAATCGTTTATGAACAAGCAAGAACTCAGAGATTTTATTACCACCAGGCCTGCTTTACAAGAGCTTCTGAAAGAAGCATTACACACAGAAAGAAACAACCAGTATTAGCCTTTCTAAAAATACACCAAAAAGTAAAGAGCACCAACATAAAGAAGAATTTACACCAACAAATGGATTAAACAGCCAGTCAACATCAAATGGCAGTAAACCTAAATTTAAATTGACTAAATTCCCAATCAAAAGACACAGCCAAAACCCAACGCATGTTACATCCAGACCTGTTTCACATGCAAGGATACACAAAGACTCAAAACAAAGGGATGGAGAAAGATTTACCAACCAAATGGAGAGCAAAAATAAATAATAAATAAATAAAAAGCAGGAGTTGCAATTCTTGTATCGGATAAAATAGATTTTAAAGCAACAAAGGTATAGTGGTAAAAGGATCAATGCAACAAGAGCTAAGGATCCTAACACCCAGATAGGAGACTTAGATTCAATGAGACAGAAAATTAATAAGGATATCAAGGACTCGAACTCAGATCCGGAACAAGTAAACTTAATAAATATTTATAGAGCTCTCCACTTCAAATACACAAAATATACATTCTTGTCAATACCACATCACACCTACCCATTAGTTTAAATAAAACATTGATTGGCCATTATTAATACCCAATTTTTTTCAAAATAAAGCAATATTTCCATTTACTCTCCCTCTTTCTCTTCCTCTTTCTTCCTCTCCTTTACTTATTTTTTTTTTTTTTCTTTCCTTCTCTCAAAAAAAAAGAAATCAACTTGTAAACCTTTAGATCCAGGTTGGCAATGTCTCTTTCATTGCTTGATTTCCTTTCTTCCCTTCCCTCCCTCCCTCCCTCCCTCCCCGCTTCCTCCCTTCCTTCCTTCATCCCTTCCTTCCTCCCTACCGTCCTTCTTCCCTTCCTTCCTGCCTTCCTCCCCCCCTCAAAAAAAAAAAAATAATAATGGGCAAAGGGTACGAACAGACACTTTACGAAAGAAGACAGATATGAGGCCAACAATCATATGAAAAAATGCTCATCGTCACTGGTCATCAGAGAGATGCAAATCAAAACCACATTGAGATACCATCTCACGCCAGTTAGAATGGCGATCATTAAAAAATCTGGAGACAACAGATGCTGGAGAGGATGTGGAGAAAAAGGAACACTTTTACACTGTTGGTGGGAGTGTCAATTAGTTCAACCATTGTGGAAGACAGTGTGGCGATTCCTCAAGGACCTAGAAATAGAAATTCCATTTGACCCAGCAATCCCATTACTGGGTATATATCCAAAAGACTATAAATCGTTCTACTATAAGGACACATGTACACGAATGTTCATTGCAGCACTGTTTACAATAGCAAAGACCTGTAATCAACCCAAATGCCCATTGATGATAGACTGGATTAAGAAAATGTGGCACATATACACCATGGAATATTATGCAGCAATCAGAAATGATGAGTTTGTGTCATTTGTAGGGACATGGATGAATCTGGAGAACATCATCCTCAGCAAACTGACACAAGAACAGAAAATGAAACACCACATATTCTCACTCATAGGCGGGTGATGAAAAATGAGAACACATGGACACAGGGAGGGGAGTACTAAACACTGGGGTCTACTGGGGGGAAAAGGAGAGGGCCAGTGGGAGGGGGAGGTGGGGAGGGACAGCCTGGGGAGAAATGCCAAATGTGAGTGAAGGGGAGAAAGGAAGCAAAACACACTGCCATGTGTGTACCTATGCAACTGTCTTGCATGCTCTGCTCATGTACCCCAAAACCCAAAATGCAATAAAAAAATTAAAAAAAAAGAACAGCTCTTGTGATTACCACAGTCAAACGTCTCTAAAGTTTGCATGTAAAAAAGCCTTTATGTACCAAACAAGGCATGCCTCACACCTGGTCATTTGCCCAGCTTTTGCCCTGATTCTTCCTGGCCTTAGATTAGTGCCTCTTCTCCTTTAGTCTTCCATGGGGTGGCATGTATTGCTAACTACTGCCCTTCTACCCATGTCTCTGAATTCCACTATTGTCGATACTAAGCAACTCACAAAATTCCTCTTCACTAGGTCTCCCTCCAAGTTTGCCCAATAATTCAAATCCCAGTGTTAGAGAGTTCAAGGCTGCTCATTAAAATTATGCATGCTAAACTGTAATAATAAATTCTGGGCTAAAATTATAATATTTTTTCAAAGTAATTTAGAGTGAAAATTTTCAGAATTTTCTGTTTTGTATAATTTGTAAAAACAGTCAAGTTTTTCAGATTAGCACATAATAGTTGTATTACAACAAAGATTCATCATTACTTCTTCCCTTATTCACTCATTCATTTAAAAATAGTTGAGTACCAGCCATTCTGCTGAACCCTGAGAATATAGTGAACAAAAGAAAAATGACCACAAGACATTATAGCAATAATTTCTATACTGTATTACTTATCTCCAGAATTATCTGACATAAACATTTTATTTAATAAAAAAAATTGGGGAGTGGGAGAAACACATGGGAAGTAAATATGCCATGACTAAGTATCAAATAAATTCTTTATAATTTATATCTATGTTTTACAAACATGTAACAATTACTATACATAACAATGAAATATTGCTGTTGACTTAAAGAATACCAGTATTTTAAAATTTCACTATACAGATACATATCACCAAAAAATGTACTAATTGAACAGAACTGTTTATCGACATTAATAAAATTTTATAAAATGTTCATGCCAAGACTGAAAAAAATAGCACAATGACTTTACAACTAAGACATACAATAAATATATTATCAAAGGATAATTTTTACTCTTCCTGGCACATAAAAGATAATTTATGGTTTTCAAACTTAATTGTTTCTGTATTAGAACGAACATACAAGTATATCCATAATTTTCTTACCAAAATAGAGCCCAATATACTTACGGAAAATAATTCAGAAAATAAGTTTGTCCTTAGCTTTAACATGGATGTGTACATATAAACATGTGCATTCACAGAAATAACATACACTGACAAAAAATTATACTTAGTAAAGGCCCAAAATTAAACTAAAAACATCCTACTAGGAATTTTTTGCTGTCTATGAGTTTTGACAAAGGATGCAGAAAATTACTGAAGTAACAAAAAAAGGACACAAAAAACACATTTCAAACAGACGAACTGCTTATCAGTATTAGAACCTGATTTGACATTCAGGTTTAATCCACTTCCTCAAAAGTCATGCCATCAAGGTGAAGGATGAACATCTTCCACTATTAAATGAGGCTGGCTGTCATTATTCTGAGAAGCAGGATTTACCTCCACATGGATTACTTTATCTGAGGTTCCTGCAGGAGAAACTTCGTTATTTGTCTCCTCTTCACTAGGTGATAAGGTTTCAGGCAGTTCATTTGAAGTTAGAACTTGCAGAGGTTCTGTTCTATTTTCAATATCCACTTGAATCCCCAAAGCTTTAAGAATATCACATTTGCAAACGGGGCATGTCCCATGGGGTAAAATCCAGGGGTCAATGCAATTCTTGTGGAAAAAATGTTTACAAGTCAGAATACGAACTATGTCATTAGGCTTATAGAATTCAAAGCAAACAATGCAGCGATCCCCATTTGGATTTATTTCCTCATCCCCCTCTTTTAACACTCGAAGTTCGAGTTGTCCAAATGCATACTTAAGATCTGCTGCTAATCGCTGCCATCTCCAGTTCTGAATCCTCGCTACCCAAAGTCCATGAATGCGGTAAAAGATGAAGTATGCTAAGGTAGCAGTTGCGACAATCACAAAAGAGACCAAATAGTGATTCACCCAGATGGTGTGCTTTCTTCCCACCTCAACCATGGCCGTAACGAGAACTCCCTTCTTAATCAAATGGAAAATTTCTGTGCCTTTTAAGTTACCAATCATAACCACAACGACATCTTCAAATGCCTGATGAAACATGGGGAACACCTGGTTGCCAGTTCCTGGAAAGTTATAGATGATCACTCCACTGGCTCCCTTCTCGGTTGCCACTTTAATTTTCTGTGTGAAGGTACAACCTCCACGTTCAATAAGGGCAAGCCAGGTCTCTGAGTACTTTGATCGGCTGAAAATGGTATTGGGATTACAAGCATTTTGGCTATTTCCCTCCGGTGGTACTATAACTCCTGCCACTCTCTTCAAAGTGGAGCTTCTTCCAAAGATTCCAGTCTCTCCCAACTTTGACAACACACGATGATTCCCAACATGAAATGATATGTTCATGTAAGCTATCCAAATACTTGCTCTGCAACACTTCTGACCAATGAGCCAAAGAACGCTGAACTTCATAAGCCAGGAAGACGCAGTGTTGTTTCTCCAAGTGCCAATCTTGAGTAGGTGCATCTCTCTCTTCTCCTAGTGACTTAACAACCAACCCAACAAACAGTTCCACGTCTGTTCATAGTTAATTTAAAATAACAAAGAGAAAAAAATCTTCAGGATCCAAACAAGATCCACTGTCTTCCAGCATGTTTTTGTAAGAAAAGTTCTTAAATATGGCTTATGAGTTTCAGATGTCTTATTAGAGAGAGGAGAAAAACTTTAGATTTAAATAAATCCCCTACTGTTAACTCTACATACTGCTTACTGTTGTGTAATGTAATTATGACATGCAAGATCAGGCAGCCAATTAGATAAGAGCTTAGAGCAAACTGTGAATTTACTAACTTAAATGCTGTTATGGGTGATTTCTATGTTGTATAAGATGGATATAATCACTGAACTACACATATAATGGTAGTGGGTAGCACACTAAACTAAAAATTAAATCTAAAATTCATAAAAAGGCATGTTCTTTAAAGCCTGAAAGCACATGTAAGAATGCTACATACTTTCTTTTAATAGCAAGTAAAGGAGATATTTCCAACAAAGTGGCAAGCTAAAACAAAAAAAAAGATAATTAAAAATTAGTGCTGTGATCAGATGTGAGGCAAAAGTGGTGAACTCAGTGACATTATTTTTATATCAAAAAGTAAAATCACAGTGCTAATTTTGATTCATCACATAAACCCTTGTATTGCATTTATTTAATTTAAGCTTGCTAAGAAGTTTGTTGCTTTAATGTTTTGACGGTTTAAAGTAGGGGATCCTGCTTGGTTTACTTCTGCCTCACTTTCTCCATCTTTCATTGACTATACAAATAGAGTATGTCTGTTAGCAGTAAAGATAGGACTGACATTGAGGGAAGCTAATTTCTCTGCAGACCTTGACATCCATTATTAATCAAACAATATTTTGAAAGAGGAAGAGAAAGTGTGTCCAGGGAAAGATTAAATATAGTCATATTAGTTTGGCACAATTCATTTTTTAAAAACAGCTATTAAGAAAAACTTCAATGTGCACACTTAATCATTAGCACCAATAAGTAGATCTCTTATCAAATACTTTTGCAGAACTCAACAAATATCTCTATTGGAAGATTCTACACTCTGTCCACGTTTTTGCTATACAATCATGTCAGTGGCACAATATGACCTCAAAGCTAAAGGATAACATATGAACTCACAAGCATAGTCACAAGCAGCCACACTGCTACTGGTACACTGTCTTGGGGGTGAATCTCAGTGTTCTGTTTTGTTTTGTTTCCCACCAGCTAGGAAACCAAGGCCAAAGATTCTGACATTGAACATAAATGTCTCTGGCCTCCATGTGTAAAGTGCTAAAAGTCTCGATTGGATCTCACCAAGACTAATGGAGCTGCTGCTACTTATGAAATGTGAATCTACATCATGATAATTTGAGACAAGAAAGGGCCCTAGGAACCCAACTAAAAATAGTATAAAAAGAATACTGATGATATAAAACCTACCCACAATGGTTGATTTTCTCTCCCAAAGGCCGTTAATCCAGTTTTATTTCCGTATTTCCCTGTATTTTTTAAAAGGAAGTACATGGTGTGTCTACTCATAAAGTGCCACTGAGTTAGGCATCAAAGGTTTAGCGTATCATCCAGAAAGAGAAATTTTCATCGACACAATACTTAAATATTTCTGTCTTTCATTGTTATATAGGTGTTTATTCATCTGCTAGAAAAAAAGGAAGATGCAAAATAAGGCAAAGAATATAACATGGAAAGGCAACTGAATAAAATTTAGCTCTGCTCTATGTTATCAAAATGCCCCAGAGAAACACACATTACCATTTGGACAGGAAGAAGGAAGCATTTACTAAGGACACTTCTAGGAAAGAAATCTGCTACCACAGCTGAGTCACTATGGACTTAACAAAGACTTAAAGAGCTCTGGCAAACGAAGGTGAATGTTTGCAATGAGGCCTATAATAATTTAGAACACGTTTCCTTACACAACCAAAGTATTATCATCTAAAATAATTATTTAGAGCACATTACCAATCCAAAGAGTAGCTTTGGAAACTAGATTTCTTGGGTATTAATAAAATTAATTAACCATGGAGAATCAGACATATAAATTATTAGATACCAGAATTAGTCAAAATGTGAAACAAAGTACAAGAATTAGTATTAAAAAAGGAAACTTAAAATAGCACGGCTAATTCTCTATAGCAATGTCATAATCCTAGTAACTTGAAGAAAAACATTTTGTTTTTAACATATACTAATGTTCTTATTTGGATAAGGGCAAAAATGTATAACAGTTAAAACTGATTAGAAAGACAAGAAGTACAAATAGTTGGGCATGATATGGAGTTTTATTTTTGAAACATGAATTTCACCCTTGTTGGTACTTGGGTAGAGAAGCTGAAATATTCTCTCTTTATAAAGTACAATTAGAGAATTTATCTAATCTTAATATTTCGAAAGATCTGGTTACATCTTCAGAAAATTCTCAGGATTTCTTAAATTTTCAGAATGTCACACTTGCACATGGGACATGTCCTATGGGCTAAAAGCCAGGGGTCAATGCATGCCTTATGGAAAAAATGTTTGCAGGTTAAAATGCGTACTACATCTTGGGGTTTGTATGTGTCAAAGCAAACAACACAACTGTCTTCATTTGGGTTTAATTCCTCATCCCCTTCTTTGAGAACTCGCAGTTGAAGCTGGCCAATAGCTTTCTTCACATCTGCCTTTATCTGACGTCGTATCCTGGTGGAAGAATTGGGCACTCTAGGTCTCCAGACACGATATAAGAAAAGGTAGGCAACTGTGGCAGCCAGGAAGGTAAACAGAGACATGACGTAATGGCTCAGCCATGGCATGTGCACTCTCCCAACTTCAATGATGATTGTCACATAGACTCCTTTCTGAATCAAGTGCAAAAGTTCCATGCCTTTCAGGTTGCCTATCATCACCGCGACTGTATTTTCTGTCCCCTGGTGAGACATGGGAAATACTTTATTGCCCGTACCTGGATAGTTGTAGATGATCACCCCATTTGCTCCTTTCTCTGCTGCCACGTTGATTTTATGTGTAAAAGTACAGCCTCCTCGTTCAATGAGGGCCAGCCAAGAGTCTGCCTGTTTGGGCCTGCTGAAATTGGTCAAAGGATTACAAGCATTCTGATTCCATCCTTCAGGAAGTGCCACTGCACCAGACACCCTTTCCAGAGGAGAATGATTCCCGAACACTCCACTCTCTCCTGATTCTGATATGATCTTATTTCCCACCTGAAATGTTATATTCAGGTGAGCTGTCCAAATGGCTTTTCCGTTTGAGTCAGGAAGGCTAAGTAGTAGCAAGATACTAAGCCTCAAAAGTCCAGATGAAACAGAACTATGAGTCGAAGGAGTAATCCTAAGGAAGCTCATGCCTCCATTTGTCTATTAACAGACAAACATGAGAAAACAAAACATCAGTTGTAAAAGAACATAAAGAAGACAGCTTGTTGGCAGTAGATTATTAAAGCACATAAATGGAAAAGGTCTTCCTGGATAAAAGATACCTTGCTCCTTCCAGCATTTTTATATTTGGTAGATTATCTTTCTCATAGTGAAACAAAACAACAGGTGTTGTGATTGGTACCATGTGATTTCAAAAAAATTATGACATCCTAATGGGGAAATTGTGACATCAGAGGTAGTTAAACCAATCCAAGTGTTTATATTAGTGCATTGCATCCTGAAATCTTATTGGCCAGAAAGCTAAGCAATGAGTCAAGATATATCACAATTTGAATAAGCTGCAAAGCAATAAATAAATTGGTAGAAATTTTTTTAAGCCTTGGGTTTCTTCCTTCATTCTGAATAGACAAAGGAAATCTACCCAGTCATGTAAAATTTTTTCTAGCTGTAAGGCAATGGCAAAGACCAAAATAATTCGTGTATTAGTGCATGTACCTGGGCCAGCTGCCAGTTTTTATGTATGGTTCAACACTACCCAATATACCATTCTGTGGGAAGCAGGAGCAAACCATTCCCACCTACTTCCCGCATTAAATGTCTATCCCACACCTAAAAATTCAACACAAAGAAAACAGAGTGTAAACTCAAATTGTTAGCCTGATACAGTCTCATCTTCTGCTGAGAACCTACTACGTTCTAGGCAAATACAGAAAGTGGAGCATATGTTGGAGAAGAAAATAGAAATGGCCCTACTCTTGTAGAGACTAAGGATTTTAGATGATGTCCTAAGGACAAGAGAAACACACTGAAGGGTTCTAATCCAGGGAGGTGACAAATGTGTTTCAAAATGTTCACTTTGGCTGCTTTATGGGGAAAATGTACTGGACAGAGAGAATAACACGAGATGAGCTTAGGCAAAAGAAGATAGCGGCCTGGACTTGAAGTAGCAGTATAGATGTAGAGACACAGACAAAGGCTGAATAACAGATTTGTAACTGGAAGGATAGTACTGGAAAGAGGAAAGGATGGCCACAATGATAACAAATCACTACATTATTTTTGCAAACTACAGAATCTTTACTGCTTTAAAGATGCTTATTGTTTACATTTATTTTAAATCTTTATCTAAAGTCTGTTTCAGGGAGTCAATAAATTGACAACACCCACTTAAATATCATGTACCATGTATAGGACGTCTTCTATGTGTACAGCAGGCCATAAAGTCCTAGGGATAGAAAAAGAAAAGACTCTATTTCCCAGTGTGCAAAATGGACTGAACATTTGTTCATAGACATGATAGAGTTTTCTCATTTTGACAAAAGCATTTATTATATTCCCTGGCCCATTGTATTTTAGTTAATATTTGCTTTTTTTTTTAGAAAAAAAAAAAACTAGCAAACAGTCTACTTGTCCCATTCATACAATTCTATTAAAGCATGACTCAGTTCATTTCTGAACTGTCCTTACAGGTAGACTTTTTTTCATGTTCAAATGGGGTGAATTCCTGGCTGATTCTATTAAGAGTGACAAATTGAAGACTCATTAAGAAGACGGTTTATCATCATCATATTAGAGGCAATTTGTTAGATCTGTGATTATTTAACCTTTGGAAGCAGAATTACAAAATAATGTAATTCTGACTTTTATATTTTGCAGATTTTTTTGTGGGGTGAAGAGTTTAACTTGTAACTACATTTTGTTTTAAAACATACATCAAAGAGTTCTCTGTATGGTTGAAAAGACTAATTTGAAGAACTTAGCTAATTCATTCTGTTTTTCTCATTATAAAATAAAGTGGTTAAAGCAATGATAGAATGGCCCTCTCTTGTGCCTCAGTCTTAGAACAAAATAGACCTGTAAGAAACAATCATCTATCTCTAAGAAAGTGGTTTTCAAGTTAGGGGCAATTTTTGGAGACATTTTTTATTGTCACAATTAGAGTGCTACTAGCATCTAGCGAGAATACATCAGGGTTGCTGCTAAAACATCTGAAAATGCACACAGTATTCCCACATGATAAGAAATTATGAGGCCCAAAATATCAATAGTAAGGTTAAGAAACCCTGATCTAATGAAATAGCCTAAGAAGAGAAGAATCCCAAAACTCTTCCATCCTTGATGGTTGGGCCAGGTATAAATTCTCAACACAGAATAAGCTTTTATAATTGGCAATGTCTCCATCAAGGATAATGCCTGCAATGCAACTCAATTTCCCCAGTTTTCCCTGGAATAGAAATAGCAGAGATCTGTACAAGTTACCTATTAGTCCATTAAGTATGATGTCAAATTGCATCTATTTTATCAGAATGGGGTCTAAGAGTCTTCTTGGAGCAGCATGTGAATGGGGCGGGGGGTGGGAGAAAGAGACTGAATCATTGAGGTAAGTGTAAAAAAATCATTTTTTCCACTATAAATTAGAACTATATATGTTTTTTGCAAGAAAATATGTGTGTGTATTTATATATATAAATATATATGTATTTTTACATATAAAAAGTTCTATATAAAAATATATTTTATATATATGCATTATATTTATATATATATTATATAACACACACACACACACTTTTTTTTTTTCCAGGAAATTACCAGACTTCTCTCAGTGTCACTTTGGCTGAAATTACTTCACAAACCCATGCCTAATGGAATCCTTGGAAACTGGAGTGGAGGAGTCAACATGATGGTCTTAGGTTAACCATGATTCATCCTGTTGTAGAGAGCTCTTTCCCTGGCTGAGCACATGGCCAGGGGAAGGGTGAAGATTTGAATGCTCTGTTACCCGGGGGAAAGACATGAACCAGAAGGTAAGTAGGCAGGCACAGTGGCAGTTACAGGCTCTGCACTCCTTAAGTACCCCCAAAGGAATAATACTTAACCATTAACCACAACAAACATGCAATATGCACTATACACAAGGCACTGACATAAGCCAGAGTCTATGTTAATGGGAACACAACATGGCTCTGACCTTAAGGAGGGCATTATCCAGGCAGAATTACAGAGTTATATGCTAGTTATATATATGTGTGTTTATGTATCCTATAACTTCCAGGTTCCAATTAAAATTTTGAGGAGGTTATAACTATTATTAAAGGAAAAATATCAACTAACTAATCTCTATCCCTCTGCTATTCTTTGCTCTTTATGGGTAAGAATGCTCACACTCCCAGAAATCTCTACTCTGATAAAGCAAAACAGATAAATACAATCACAGTGCACTGCTCTAACATGTAAGGAAAACCAATAAACTACCTCACAAGTGTCAGTATACAGGGCTGTGATATCATGAGAGATCTCTAGGAATTCACAAAATACTTATTTTGCATTCAGGTTCAAAAATTACAACTATATATGTTTTTTTGCAAGAAATTAAATGAATCATAATGAGATCTGAGGAAAACAGAATACTGACTCTAAAGTACTTCACTGAGAGCAACAAAAAAGCAAACAGTACTACTACTACTTTTTCTGAAAGCAGAATCTTTACTTTTACAATTTTTAATGTTTTCTAATATATATGTGTGTGTGTAAAATTTGCAAGCATTCCCTTTAATTACAGCTAATATATCAGTGGTTTAAAAAACTTCATACTTTCATGTAACAAAGCTAGTTTATATAAAAGGCATTTCTGGATAGTAGCAACTATAATTCTAATTAATTCTAATTTCTATTTTTTTAATAAATTTTGTTTGTATACTTAATGTGCACAACATGATGCTATAAGATACACATATATAGTACGATGTTTGCTTTAGTGGAACAAATAAGCATATCTGTCCTTTCACACAGTTATCCATCCGTCTTCCTATTGTAAATGCAGCTGTAATCTACCCATTTAGCAAAAATCCTAATATAATTCCCTCTGCAAAATTACCTATTCTGTTAACCTTCTTGAGGGACAGGATTAGATCTTATTCTCATCTTTTTAATACCCAGCTTCTAGCACAGTATCTAGCACATCATAGGTTCTCAAGAAAAGTTGAATTAAAATGATAGTGTCAGCCGGGCGCGGTGGCTCACACCTGTAATCCCAGCACTTTGGGAGGCCGAGGCGGGTGGATCACGAGGTCAAGAGATCGAGACCATCCTGGTCAACATGGTGAAACCCGTCTCTACTTAAAAAAAAAAAAAAAAAAAATATACAAAAAATTAGCTGGGCATGGTGGTGCGTGCCTGTAATTCCAGCTACTCAGGAGGCTGAGGCAGGAGAATTGCCTGAACCCTGCCTCAGGAGGTGGAGGTTGCGGTGAGCCGAAATCGCGCCATTGCACTCCAGCCTGGGCAACAAGAGCGAAACTCTGTATCCAAAAAAAAAAAAAAAAAAAAGATAGTGTCATTATCCTCTGTATTCTATCCGGTAATATTCCTTGTGCAAAATTGTATCTACTTAATTTTATTTCAGAAGGGTGATCATTTCAGTAAGAGTACAGAATAGTTAGAATATGCATAATAAGTTCAACCTATAATTAATTATTCCAAATATGTGTGTGTATGTATATATGTTTATACATAGTCCCTGCTCTTATCATAAAACTTGATTCCTTAGCCATACCTTAATACAAAGATAAATAAGCATTTGGAATATGACCAAATTCCTTTAAATTGTAACGGGCATAAATAAATATAAATTACACTCTCTTCTTCATTCTGAATTCAAGTCATAGTCTACATAACTTTAACAATAAATTGAAAACAGTATTTTCCTCATTCAGTCTACCAAGTTAGAAGATAGAATGGCAATAAACAGAGTAGAAACTCATTATTGTTGCTCTGGTAAGTAATGGGGGAAAAATTAACACTGTAGTCTTTGCACTAGAAGGTAGAAGGAAGAGCTGAATATTCTCAAATAAACACAAGATTAATGACAATATTTGGCATTAATATAATTATTATTTTTGTTTGAGCCTGGAACAATATATATCTTAATATCAACTAAACCATTTAGACTGGTTTTTTGTTTGAAGTGGTGGTGAACAGGCAATATACTTAAATGAGGAAAAAATATACCCAAACAGAATCCTTTAAATTACCACCAGCAATTGTCCTGCTCATACCCAAACAGAATCCTTTAAATTACCACCAGCAATTGTCCTGCTCATACCCAAACAGAATCCTTTAAATTACCACCAGCAATTGTCCTGCTCATACCCAAACAGAATCCTTTAAATTACCACCAG